TCACCACTCAAAGGACACGTTTTGAGAGGTCAGACCTGCCGAATCAGCTCACAACTGAAGCCGCCGAATCCGCTCACAATTGCCAAAGTCAGCTCCCAAGTAATAAATGAACGGAAAGAAACAAGTCAGAACGACCTCTATCTTTGATACTCAGCCCCTAGAAGCAAAAACAAACAAAATGGCCACCCCCACTCTGAAAAACCATTGAATCTTCCCCTTTTGACCTCACCGAACCCGCGGCCACGTCGGCCCGAAGACCCCACGACCTTGGCCGGGGTCAACGGCGATGGCGTCTCATCGCCGCTTCCTCGTCGCAGGCTTCGGGGGCCGTGTTTTTACATCAGGCCTTTGGCACGATACTGCGGATGGACGAAATCCATTTCATACCACCGAAGAAACCCTGGAATGTTGCTTCCCCTGTAAATACCAACAAACAATGGTGTCTCATGGTTGCTTAGGTGGTGCAGGATTTCGTCCGTCCACAGTAGGAGTGAACCACGCGTTGTTCCAGCAGAAAGGCCAGTGGCGGCTTTGAAATGAAAAGGGTGGACCAAAATGTTGTTGTTCCAGTGGGTCCGCCCCGGCGGCTTTGGAAGTGAGCCATTTTGTTGCTCTGGCAACGGGTCTCCTTGAGCCTTTAAGGCTGCTGGCCCAAGGGCAGGCTGTGAGGAACCATGGCAGCTACTGCAGGTGGACGCGCATGGAACACCAGCTCATGAACCCAACGACTCTAATCCACGTTGGCTTCCTTCGAACATACGCCAACATGCGGTGGATAAGGAGGACCCCGATTTCCGCACCGCATTTCCCGGGGGTTCCCCACAACGGCACACCAGTCCCCCGCCGAGCACCATGCGCCCGAAACCCGAAAACCCGAAGACCCGGACACCGCCCGCACACCGCCCGGACACCGCCCGGACACGCTCCTTCCGTGGGCGGCGCGGCGCACGCCGGCTCCACCGCGGCCCGCAGGCACTCCACCATCTCGAACACGCAGACCTCTCCGGGTGTCCAGCCTTGGCCACGGGGGACAAACCAGGCTGCGGCTCAAAGAATGGAACTCCAAAATGGCGCCTTTTGATCAACGCCCATGTATCACATGTAGCGACCTTTTGATCAACCCCCAAGTGAAAGGGTGGTTGATATGGCTGTGGCTTACACAAATGTTCCAAAATTGCATCTTGGCAATGGAACCAAAGACTAAAACCTGCAGTTTGCCCTAACTCTTTCATTTTGAGCCATACCCCACAACTCCAGGGCGCTCGAAAAGGAAAGCCTCATGGGAAACGCCCAAAGAGGCTCAAATGCAAGGTCGCTGTGCCTCACCCGAGCAAATCAACTTGTGGACAAGTTGAAGCTTTCCAAGAGGCCTGCCACTGGTAGATCGAACACCCGGCAACGACCAATGAATTGTCACTCCACCCTGATAAAGACACGGGACACCCTGTGGCCTTTCTCTGTGGGTCCACAGCAAGACATGTCCAGCATGAAGACAAAAGCACATAGAGATACCAACACCATCACAAGGACCTTTTTACCTCAGGGTCGGAAAAAAATGAGCCAGCGAGTCTACTTGCATGAACGGCAGACAGAGAGCAATTCTTGAACAGCCTGGTGAATTGTCCGACGTGTACCTTTGTTTTTTACAGTCCCCCAGCTTTTCTTCCTTGCAGCCCCCAGCAAAAAAGTTGAGAAAAAAAGAAGAATAAACAAAAAACATGCCAAGAGCCAACACAGTTTACCTAGGAGAGGCACAAAAAACAAGAAAACCACAAAAAATGCCAAGAGCAGTGGACAGATTCCTTAGGACAGGCACTCTAAACACCTTGCGCGACTCGCCCGTTCTCCACGTGGCTCGTCTCCGGTCCAATCCACCACCCGCCGAGCGGCAGTTCTCGAGGCTCTGCTGGATGGAGGGCGCCGTGCCGTGGGGGCACTCCACCTGCACCTCACGGAGCGTCGGCCAAAAAACGGCGAGGGAAGGACACGAGCTGAAGGTTGGCATCATGGTTTTGCATGGTTTTTTTCTGGTTGCCCATGATGGAAAATCTGGAGGTTCCTGGTTCCCTGTTGCTTGGTTGCTGAAGGCACCCTGGAGAAAGTGTCACCTGGGGGGGAAAAAGTGGACCTTGAGTTCAACCAAAAAGTTAAAGTCTAAGGATCCAACCCAATAGCAGTCAAGATTGACTAGGTCCTCCAGTAGAGAGCCTAGAATCAGGGTTTCCCGATGCTTTTTTGCCGTAGTCTATTTAGTAGGGGAACCCTCCCAACCAAAAAAGGGCTTAAAAAGGGAACCTAGCTGGGGACCTAGGAAGATAGCTGAAGGCACCCCCGGGGTTGAGATTGGTTTGTTTTCAGATGGAGCACTCCAGATGGACGGATTCCTTTTAAACATTGCCCTCAAAACAAATAACAAGAAGGCTAATTACCTTCCCGGACGGACGGACGGACGCACGCACGGACGGACGGATGGATGGATGGACGGATGGATGGACGCGTGGATGGACTGACGCACGGACGCATGGATGGACGGACGCACGGACGCACGGACGGATGGATGGGATGGATGGATGGACGCATGGATGGGCGGACGGACGGACGGATGGATGGATGGACTACAGTAGATCAGATTCGATGGGATTAGCTTGGATTGGATGATATAAATAGATAGACTTATAACTTATTAATATAGATATAAGTACACGTTGAACAACTCTGACACTGGGCATCACATGTCTGAAGTCTTGATTTCTCGACCGCATTGAAGGGGTCTATAGTCAGCCAATCCACAACACAACTCCCAACCTGAGCTCTCAGATTGGGGTCCGAAGGCAGCTGCAAATGGAAACCAAGCTGTCCGGATATCAAAGGCAAACAAAAGCGGTCAGAGTTCTGGCCGCTGTTCCGCGATGCCCCAACCGGACAAGTGGTGTTCAAAGATCTCGCGGTGTGGCCAAACAGCGACTTCTCATTCTTGATTGTAGCAGGCAACACTCCACAAAGCACCGCCACGACGACGAACACCACGAGCACAACCACCACCACCGCCGCCACCGCCGCCACCACCACCCCCACCACAACCACCACCAACACCGACAACACCGCCATCACTGCCAACAGCAGCAGCAGCAGCAGCAGCAGCAGCAGCAGCAGCAGCAGCAGCAGCAGCAGCAGCAGCAGCAGCAGCAGCGCGGCAGCGGCAGCGGCAGCGGCAGCAGCAGCAGCAGCAACAGCAGCAACAAAACAAAACAGACAAGGCAAACAAATAGAAACGGAAAAAAGGGGGGAACAAACCACCACAACGACCACCACCACCAACAACAACCAACCAACCAACCAACCAACCAACCAACCAACCAACCAACCAACCAGCCAGCCAGCCAGCCAGCCAGCCAGCCAGCCAGCCAGCCAGCCAGCCAGCTAGCCAGCCAACCAGCCAACCAGCCAACCAACCAACCAACCAACCAACCAACCAACCAACCAACCAACCGGCCGGCCGGCCGGCCAGCCAGCCAGCCAGGCGCAGGCAGGCAGGTAGGCAGGCAGGCAGGCACGCAGGCATGCATGCAAGCATCAGCAGTATGATGTAGTCAAGTCGACTTGAGTGGATGTTTGAACATGACATGGCATTCCTGTGTCAAGGTGCCCAGTCTGCAAAACAAGGCACCGCTGGTGGCTCGGTGCCCGGGTAGCCCCCCGGAAGGTTCACCCGCAAGAAGGTGCCCTGGCCCACGTTCACCAGCCACTCGTAGTCACTCAGCGCCTCGCAAAACAAAAACCCCGTGGACGGGTGATCCATGCCAACAAGATGGGGCCAAAGACAAGCTGTCCATACCACCAAAGCATCCAACCGCAAGACCTGCAGTGTCGCTCAAAGGATTGACAAGCACCAACCAGTCCGAATTTGCTGCTGAGACTTCTACATCTCAGGCAAATATGAAATCTAAGAATCGACCAATCCAAATCATTGGCTTCATGTTGACCTCCTCAACCAGTGTGCCAACCATGGTTCTACGTTCATGTGGCCCTTAGGCCCTGACTGGATATTGCGAGTTCCTACAGTTGGGAATTTGTTGGATAGTTTTGGGGAACCAGAAGGAATCAACTATTTGAGGTCTCTGGTTTTGGGACACAACCATTTGGTTTCTGCATCTGCTAGCCTGTTGGTGGGCGCCTATCTGCCGCAACAGGAGCTGACGACTGCGGGGATTGTCAGTTGAACAAGCCAGTCACAACCCGCATCGGCGACAAGGTAACCAGTGCACTCTGCACTCCACACTCGCACAATACATAATTGAAATAGGAATCAATGCCTGAAATGCAAGAGCCTTGCAGATCTCGGAGTATAACCCAGCAGCGATTTACTTTCCGAATCCCTGCGTGAAACCCAAAGGTGCCTGGAAAAGTGACGGTCTTACTTCTAATGAGCTGAACATGCCGTCATGTTGTCTCTCTTTGTCGAGAACGGAACGAGCCAAATAGCAAAGCAGTGGCTCCTTCATCGTCAACTAGTGCAGCCTGATTCCATTGACAAGAACCCCGCTTTTAACCACCTGCATCAGAGGGCGGGCATTATTGCTGCTGAGGTTCACTCAACTTGGCAATCTTCCACCTCCCTCATGCACTCTGAAACGCAAGAATCCACTCAACAGCAATGGTTGATCCCCTCCCTGAAAACAGAAGAATCATTGCGCAGTCAAACGCATGCCTCTCAGATCTTGGACAGAGCAACATGACGATAAAGACGGAGTCTTTCAGTCTTCTTCCATGGACCAATCTTGTGGTTCAAGCCAGACGGAAACTCCGTTTTGATCATGCAGGCTGATTCATAGCAAAGTGTCTTCTAGCGAATTGTCCGCTTTCCCTAGCACATCTCAAACAAGTGGAGGCCTCATGGTCCATGGGGATCCATGCTCTTCAAGTGAATGTCCAAGATCAAAGACCCCGAACAAACTACGGCGAGTGTTCCCCCCCCTCCCCTCCACCCCACCCCCCCCCCCTTTCCCTTTTTGCCCACCCTCCCCCCCCCCCCCCCCCGGCAACACATCCCCCAAAAAAAATGCTCAACACCCAACAGACATCGCGCCGCTGTGCCAAGCTCTGATCCCTCGAAAACAGCCGCCTCGAAGTCAGCGCCGTAGATGGAGTTCAGAGCCTCCTGCTCCTGCTGCGGGGCTTTCACTCAAAAAAAAACGCGGCCCGGCCAGAGTCAAGGACCCAGGCTAGGTCCTCCAGTGGAGAGGTTAGAATAAGGGTACCCTTTTTTCTGTAGTCTATTTTAGTAGAGAACCCTCCCCAAAAAAAGGGGTAAAAGGGCACTACTGGGGGACCTAGAGTACCGATTTTAGCTCCATCTATGTTCATGCAAGCTGACCTAAAAAAAGAAGACGATGAAGGCGCCGAATGCATTCTTCCAGTGGCGCTTGGTTCATAGGTCTAAAATTGAAGGGCCAGCCCCACTCAAATTGAGAGTCGTCCACACCTTTTAATACATATATATATATATGTATATATATATATATACATGCAACAACGGAATGTCAGCTTCTCTAGACTCAGACCCCCTAGCTGGCCATATTCAGTACAAGGCGGAACCCATGGCTGTCTCCAACCCATGTCATGCTTTGCTATATCCCTATACGAATCGCACGCAAGCCACCGCGGAAATGCCGTCTTCGTGAGCCCGGTCGCTTTTCAGGGAGATGTTCGCAGTCCCCGCAAAAAATTGGGTTCCCGACCAATTGGGATTCTCTCGACATGTGGGAACCCCCAAACTGGGTAACTCCTTGTGGATTTGCCAGAGACCCTTCAAAAAGGATGTGCCCAAGCCGCGTGCCACACAAGTATGTTGATTGGGCACCCTTTGGCCCGATTTGAGCAGCCAAGCATTTTCGGAGGGTACAAGGGCCTAAACAAGTAGAATGGGGTGGGCACTCGAAAACCATATACCACGATGACAGAACAAGATATTGCTCGGCTGCCCAAAGGACCCAGAAGTCAAAGGTTCCGCCTTTTGGCCCCTCTACCAGACAACTTACCAAAACGGGAAGAAAAAACGGGAAAAAGGTCAACCAGGTCGGGCCCTGGGTCAAAAAGCTGAGATTCGCGTCGACCGGGCGCCGCTCCGCGCGCCTGGTCCAGCATGGGGTCGCTGTGCATGTTCATGGGCGAGTTCGCGTGGCTGTCTGGGAACATGCCATTGCACTTCTTCCTGAGGCCGAGTCGCGCGGACGGGGAGCTGGCGCCCACCGGCTCAAGCACGGCTCGGCCAAGGTTGCTCAAACAAGGAAGCAAGCAAAAACACAATGGAACGAAACAAGCAAAACAAATGAAGCAAGCAAAAACAAGCAAAGCAAACAAACAAACAAACAAACAAACAAACAAACAAACAAACAGACAGACAGACAAACAAACAAGCAAACAAACAAACAGACAGACAGACAGACAAGCAAACAAGCAAGCAAACAAACAAACAAACAAACAAACAAACAAACAAACAAACAAACAAGCAAGCAAGCAAGCAAGCAAGCAAACAAACATAACATAACATAACAAACACAACAAAATAAATATATAAAAAAAAAAAAAAAAAAAAAAAATCCCCTTTGATGATTCCGTTTAGAACCAGTCCTGCTTGTTCACCCAGAAACATCACCTCTGTCTTGAGAAAACAGGTTGGCACCAAAAGGAGTGTGGCTGTGACAATCTCATGACCTCCCCTTTCTTTTTTGACAACGAAGGATTCTTGCTCTTAATTCTACAAATGGGTTGTGCGGAAGGACCTATAGTTCACTTGCGGGGCTCGCTGATGCAGAATCAAACTCAAGTCCATCTTCCCAAATAGTCAGAAAATCATGGGATCGATCAAGGGCTTGCTGCATGATAGCTCTACCGCCCTTCATTTGGATGTCCACCTTTCAGTAGCTCGTGCGTGATGATACATTTTCTTGGCCATCCCCCATTGCTGGATCTGTCGAAATGGTAGCTTCAGGCTGCGGGAAAAATATCCCCTCAGATGTGTGCTCTCGGGCTGTACCCACTTGCCTGAGCCCCACCGGGCCAAAAAAAAAAAAAAAACGGCCTGGTCCACTCGGAAATAGACAGCTCAGGCTGGATTGTCATGTTGTTTTTGATCCGGGGTGGGGGTATGGGCTGTATGGGCTGTATGGGAGTTGGTGAATGGGCCAACCGCCGGCGAATTCTTCACTGGAGTGGGGGGACCCTTTCTTTTTCACCCTCCAAGCCTGGTTTTTCAACCCTTCCCGGGCTTGAAGGCTGACAAGGAAGGGTTAAACAAACAAGGTTGGAGGGTGAGAAAAAAAGGGAGCCTCTTGAGTGGGGTGGCTAACACAGAAGCCCGCCACCTGCCGCCTGCCACCTGCCGCCTGCCACCTGCCACCCGCCACCTTGCCTCTCTGCGCGACAAAAACCGACCACCCCCCGGCCCATCGGATTTTCTCAAGGCCAGCGACAGCGCGGGGCAGTTCCGGTGCAGCAGCTCCCAGAGCTCCGACCTTGGAGAAATTACTTCCGAAGACGCGCCCAAAAGAATCGCCGGGGCTTGAGTTGAGCTTTCCAGGGGCACCTTCCCCATTCTAAACCCATAGATCCGAATCTTTCTAGAAAACCTCCAATAACCCAGGGAAAACTGGATCCGATTCTTGGAAAGACCGATGGTTGAAAAGAACGGGGAACCCTAGAAGATTGCTTTTCATAACCGTCCGGGTGGTCTACTGTCTACAGTACCAAAAACAGAGCAAAAAACCGTGGGCGCGTTTTGCTCCCGAATGCGCAGCAGAAGGGTTCCCGTTTAGAGCTCGGGGGTCTGGGGGTTTGGATGTGACCAGAGCTCGTTGAACTTGCGCCCCCAAGCGTTCGCAAGCGTTTGTACGTGTTCGTATGTGTTCGCGAGTGTTGCGGTCGCAGTTCCAGTGGGAAAAGCGAAAACGTGCCATTTAGATGACTTGAAGCGTGTCATTGTTCGTGCCCCTGTGCGGGAATCGTAGCTCTTAGGACGTCGTTTTGCAGCGCTGGCGCAGTGTTTTGTCAAGGTTCACGTTTGCGTTGCGAATCCATTGTGACTCGCGTTTCAGGGGTCGTCGTTTTGAGGTGTTTTGCTTGGAATGCACGCGCAAGAGTTTCCTCGAATGTCGTTTTCGTTGGCCCTGTCGTACAATTGGCTCGTCTTCACGACTTTAGATTTTCAAGAAATCGGTCGAAATCATTCTGGCGCTACAGTCACGCGCTAGTTTCCCGCGTGCGATGAGGGAGTGTCAAATTCGTGTCATTTTGAGCGTTGCATACCGCTGTAACGTGATTGTTCGTGACAGGCGCAGCAGCGAGAGCGACTCGACCCATCAAAGTTCTGCGCCTGCCATGAAATCTGCACGCAAGCTGGAAAGTGCTGCGCCTGCCACCTTTTCTGCACAAAAAGCTCTAAAGTGCTGCGCCTGCCACGAAATCTGCACGCAAAGCTCTAAAGTGTGGCGTGGTGCGCATTTGGAGATTGCAAAGTGAACCCTCTGCGGACTTAGGGTGGGTCGAATCGCTCTCGCTGTGGTGCGGTGCACATTTTGAGATCGCAAGTGAAACCCTCTGCGCACTTTGGGCGGGTCGAGCCGAACCCTCTGCGCACTTTCGGTGGGTCGAACCGATCTCGCTGTGGCGCGGGGAACATGTTGAGATCAAACAGTGAAACTTTGGATGGGTTGAATCGCTTTCGCCGTGGTGCGGAGCACATTTTGAGATCGCGAAGTTATGACCCAACACGTGACGAGAGAAATGCGAGTAGGGTCGAGACATGAGAAAGACCACGAAAGACAAGACGAAAGATGTGACGGAGTCATGACATGAGGCGCGTTGAGACACATGATGAGAGATGTGATAAAAGTTATGACGAGAGACGGGACCAGAGTTGTTACGACGGACATAACAAAGGACGTGACCAAAGACGTGACAAGAGACGTGACCAGAGGTGTGACGATGGATGTGACAAGAGGAGAGCCGTGACGAGAGACGTGACGAGGATCGTGACGCGAGTTACCAGAGACGGGACGGCAAATATGACAAGAGACGTGTGAGAAGGGACGTGGCGAGGGTCGTGACAAGAGACGCGCATGTCGAGATCGCGCAGTGAAACTTTGGATGGGTTGAACTGCTTTCGCCGTGGTGCGGAGCACATTTTGAGATCGCGACGTCGTGACGAAACACGTGACGACAGAAATGCGAGTAGGGTCGTGGCTAGAGACATGAGAAGAGATGTGACGGAGTCGTGATGTGAGGCGCGTTGAGACACATGATGAGAGATGTGATGAAAGTTATGACGAGAGACGTGGCCAGAGTTGTTACAAGAGACCTGTCAAGGGACGTGACCAAAAGCGTGACTAGCTACGTGACAATAGATGTGACAAGAAACGTTGTTACGTGAGACGCGACAAAGGACGTGACCAAAGACGTGACTAAGAGACGTGACCAGGAAAAGTGAAGTGACAAGAGACGCTGTTACGAGAAACCTGACAAGGGGCATGACCACAGACGTGACTCGAGACGCCACCAGATACACAAAAAGAGGCATAGCCAGATACTCTACGTGGCGATAAATGTCATAAGAGACGTGTGAGGAGAGACGTGACGAGATGGACCAGAGACGTGACGAGAGATGTGACAAGAGACATGTGAAAAGAGACGTGACGAGAGACGTGACCAGAGACGTGACGCGAGGGCCGACGACTCGTGCGTGACAAGAGACGTGACGAGAGTCGCCAAGAAAGACGCGGCGGGAAACGCGACGGAGTCGTGACGACAGGCGCGGCAAGACACGTGATAAAAGACCAGAGACGCGACGCGAGGGGTGACGACTCACATTACAAGAGACATGACGGGAGTCACCAAGAAAGACGTCATGGGAGACGTGACAGAGTCGTGACGAGAGGCGCGGCGAGACACATGATGAAAGGTTTGACGAAAGTAATGACGAGAGACGTGGCCAGAGTTGCTACGAGAGACGCGACAAATGACGTGACCAAAGGCGTGACTGGAGACGTGACCAGAGACCTGACTATAGAAACATGACTAGAGTCGCGACGCGAGATGTGACAAGAGTCCGCTTTCGTGTCCGCATTCGGGTTCGTGGCTTCTATCAGGTTTTTTTCTGTCAAAAAAGGGGCGTTGGGTTGTGGTTTCCACAAACCTCGATGGATGGAAGTCGGGCATTTCGGCTGCAATAGACTGAAGTCAAATTCTGGTTTGGGGAAATGAAGAGACCCTCTCGAGTGAAGAATCCAATCCTCTCCGGATATTTTCCGGTGAGGCCAACCTTTGTTGCAAATCCAAGGTCCAAACCGGTGTGAGAAGCGCGAAAGCTGGGCTATGGGTATGGTTTGGTGCCCCTCCCCCAAGAGGTAGGAAACGACCTTTCCGTGTGTTCGGAACGAGCCACAAGGGGATCACCTTTTTCGGAAACCATAGAGAAACTTGCGGCGATTCCCAAAAATACCCCTCAGAAAAAGAAGAAAAAGAAGAAGAAACAAATCGTGGATGGCGGTTTTTGGGGGGTCATTCCACTTCTCCTTCCCTGCCTATCGCAGCCAGCCTGCTCCAAGCCTAAGCCCCTAAGCCCCGCACCACGCAGTCTCCATGGAGCCCTCCGGGCCGTCGGTGAAGGTGACAACCACCTGCCCAGAGGTTGAGCTGAAGGGAAAGGGTTGCACGGTATCACCTTTACACAGGAACACAAACAGGGAATTGATGGGAGTATATACGATAGATTTTTCTATATACACATACATTATACATACACTATACGTACATATGTATACTCTTTGTGTATATATATATGGTACCCTTCCCTGGACCCTGGTTTGGAGTGTTTGACCTGGTTTTATGCCTTTGATTTTGTGTCAAAATTAGGGGGGTGCCATATGTATATGCATACATACAGATGTGATAAAAGCAATGACATCAGCATCTGCAATCTGAAAGAGTTTGAATGCATCCAAGAGTACAAGAACAACCCAGATTTTGTTGAAAAACAGCAATAAACATTCCTGGATTTCAGATTCAAGAATCTGAGAAAATATTTGCTCAGATTCTTGAATCTTGAATTTTGAATCCAGAATTCTTGATTATAAAAAAAGGAGAAAAAAAAAAACGGGTTGTCCCAATACTCTCGGTGTCCATGAAATATGTCAATCTCGAATCTTCAATCCAGTGGTAAAATACAGTTTTAGAATTTGAACCTCTCTTCCCTTAAAACTTCCCATTGGAACACCGTCCAACAAGTTCAATGTCGGACCTTTCTTATGCTACAAAAGGGCCAGAATGTGAATAACACAAGTTGTATTTTGAATTTCCTTGTAGAAGTCCCTTCCATGTTTAGCCATTCTTAATACGAATTATATCTGAGAAGTAGTCTCTATTTAATTGTGATTATCAAAAGCTAATTGAATTGCTTTTGCGTTAGATTATATTTACCACTTAGATTGTATTTGAGAATAAAGTCCTAGCTAACTTCTGCTGTTAAACATTGGTTGGAGTTTACTTCATGTAGCTCCTATTTGAAAAGCATATTTTCTTTTTCTTGTTTTCTTCCGCTGTAATTGGACATAAACACACGTTTGAAAACTATATCCTTACTAAACTATACTAACAAATCCAATTCTAGTGAAAGTAAAGTCCGATTTGAAAAGCATATCATATTGGGACATTATGGAGGACTCCGGGCTCCAAATCAGGCTTTGGGGACCCACAATTGGACATTTCGAGAATAAACATTTTGAGATTCTAGATTTGCCATCCCCAAAAAGCAGTAAAACCAGGGTCCATGGGGGGGGTGTAGCATATATATATATATACATATATATATATATATATCTGGTTGTGAATCTAGTGACCGTCATACTGGACATTGATGTAATATATGCATATGCATATGATTGCGTATGAACATATACCTACAAACCTAATATTGCACAAGTCACAGGTTTGCCTACAAAGGAACTAAGGTCAAAAAGTCGCACGCTCGACTGCAAACGATGAAAACACGATCCTGGCGTCCTGTGTGTGAGTCTTCATCTGCGCTATTCGCGGGAAATCGCTTTTTGTGAATCTGGATCTGGCACAGCCTTTCCAGTCATGCCCATCATGCCAACCAGCTCTTGTTGCCACTCTGACTTCGTTTTGACTCTTGTGCGAGGAGGTGCTAGGACACACAAGGATTTGCAGATTGCAGATTTCCAGACATGTCTTCTGCGAATCTTCCATCTGAAGGTGCATGTTGCAGCCAAATCAGAAGCTTGAACAAGGGAGACATAAACTTAAGCAAATGCAGCCATCCAGAATCTAGTTTGAAACCACTTGCTCTCACCTGTCACACGCGGTGCAGACTTGCGCTACGCTGGTCACGAGCACTCGAAGCCATGCAATGGGAGTGCGGCAGTGACATCTACCATCCAGGGCAAAAAAGAAACTCTTTTCACCAATATATTGCAATATATTGCTGTACTGATGTACTGTTGAATATGAGTTTGCCTTAGAGACAAAAATAAGGCTTCTTTTCTATACGTGGCATTAGCTAAAGCGCTGGTGAGCGAGCAACCACTGAAACGCGCAGACTGTGCTCATCTGCTCAAGCATGGGCTGGCTTGGAACAAGCATAGCCAAGAAGTGGCGTTGACTGGCGCATGCAGGGATCAAGAAGTGCGGGAAGGCCCTTTCAAAAACAAGCAAGCTGTGCATTGGGGCTTTGATTTCGGGTTGTTGAGCGAGGAAAGCAACCTTTTCACCTCAGCGTGCTATGTTGGTCGGAACGAGGTATTCGTAGAAATGAAACGGGTCCCCACAGCAACACGGCGGGTATGAGCTACGAAAGAGTTGTCTTGCCTCTGCTAAATGAAGACGATGAAATGCATCTTGCATCTATCTCTGCTTTCCAACGAGCATCACCGAGTGGCCGCTTCCAGAAATTGTTCAGAAAGTTGGGGGCAGCCCCCTCTGGACAGTTTCATGGAGACAACAAAGGGAAGCCGACCATCTGGAGGGACGCCTATGGGGGCCCCGAAGTTCTAAAACACGAAGCGTCGAAGCATCGTTGCCTTGCAACACATTGTCCCTTTGGGCCAGCTATCAGTTGTCGTTCATGCCCGCTTCCTCTCCTCTCCCCCGCCTCTAGCAGCTGAAGGGAGGCTGAGACCTTGTGCCTGACAGGCCATGGATTGTTGGCAGATCCGTGTTGCACACGCTAGCTGCTCGGATCCCGCCACACTAGACTAGGCCCGGGTGATCTGAGATATCCAACCGAGGCGGTCACCCTGATTTTCATGCATAAATCAGCAATATATATATATATATATATGGTACCCCCCCCCCCCCCATGGACCCTGGTTTGGTGCGGTTGACCTGTATTTTCCAGTGTTTTATGCTTCTTTTTGCTTCTTGGATTTGTGTCAAAATTGGGGGGAGGGTCGTACATGTATATGATACGCATGCATGCATACTGATGTGATAAAAGCAATGACATCAGCACCTGCAATCTGAAAGAGTTTGAATGCATCCAAGAATACAAGAACAACTCAGACATTTTTTAAAAATTATTAAAAATTATGGGATTCAAGATTCAAGATTCAAGAATGTGAGAATATATTTTCTGGGAATCTTGAATGTTGAATCTTGAATCCCATAATTTTTAAAAAGTTTTAAAAATTCCAGGGTTGTCCCAATACTCTCGGTGTTCAATAAGATTCTCGGAAAAGTTTTCCGTGAAATAGTCCAATCCAGTGGTAACGGATGTTCGAGGTGATAGAACAACTTGAACATTTTAGGGGTTGACCAGGATGGATGATTCTCAGGAAAGTGGTGGTTTGTGGGCTCCTCAATATTGAATCCCCAATCCAGTGGTAAAGCACTTTCAAGTGTTAGAAGAACTTGAATGCTATTTGGGTTTGGCCAGGATTGACAATTCTCAGGAAAGTGTTCTGTGTAATCTTCAATATTGAATCTTCCATCCGATAGTAGCAAATTTTCAAGTGCTAGCGATCCAGTGGACACACTTTCAAGTTGTTGGTTAGACAAACTTTCAAGTGCTTTTGGTGAGCTTCATGTCAGCTATGCTCATGTTGCCCCCTTTCCAGGAGGCAAACAAAGGCAGGTGCAACGCTCAAAAATACTGCATTTTCCAGTATTTTTTGAGGAGGCGCAGGATCATTGGGGGTACTATATATGTGTGTATGTATGTGTATATATAGATATACATATGTATGTACGTTCACACACCGTCCCCCACCCTCTTCAACTACCTGTCCACATTTGCTCATCTACTACCTCCACCTTTTGACATAGTATTAACTTTCCTGCGCAAATAGAACTTTAAATACAACGGTTTAGCTAGAATCCCTGTTTCGAGATGGTTTTAGATTCTGAACCTCTCTTCCCTTGAAATTTCCCTTTGGAAAACCGTCTAACAAGTTCAATGTCGGACCTTTCTTATGCTACAAAAAGGCCAGAATGTAAACAACACAAATCCTATTTTTAATTTCCAAATGTTTAGCCATATTTAATACGAATTATATTTGAGATGTAGTCTCTATTCACTTGATATTATCAAAAGCAAATTGAGTTGTGTTCGTCTTAGATTATACTTACCACTTGAATTATATTTGGGAACAAACTTCCATCTAACTTCTTGTGTTATAGATTAGTTGGAGTTTAGCCGAAAATATATATATTTACATTTTCATGTAGCTGCTATTTGGAAAGGATTTGTTTGTTTAAGCTGTAATTGAACATAAACACATTTTGGAAAACTATATCCATACTAAACTATATTCAAAATTCAAATTCTAGTTGAAGTAACATCTTATGTGCAAAGGGTATCATACTGGGACATTGTGGAGGACTCCGGGCTCCAAATTATCACGCTTTGGGGACCCACAATTGGAAATTTCGAGAGTACAAATTTGGAAATTCTAGATTTGGCATCCCCAAAAGGCAGTATAACCAGGGTCCATGGGGGGGGGGGTGCATATATATATATATATATATATATATGTAGCCTTTTCAAGGGGAAAACAAAACTCATCCTTGTGGGTTGCTGGCTGCACCCATTCAACCCCAGTTTTCGGCTCAGGAAAAAAACAAAACGACTCCAGGCTCCCCTTGTCGTCTCCGCGGGCCTCAGCGAGAACATGTCCAGCTCGGACTTGAAATCGGAGACCTTCTTCGGCGCCTTGGGCAGCCTCAAGCCGCAAGGCTCACCCTGGAGCCTTCCAAAGGTGAAAACGAAGGCCCTCTCGGCCTCTCAAAAGAAGCCTGGCTCCTCCGAAAGAAACGGTTGCATGTCTTTGAGGAGCCTCTATGAATGCGAAATGGCAGAGCCACAAGGAATATAGAATGGGATGAGGTTGGTACCCCTCTGCGATTTGAAGGCGGTTGCCAGTCAGCAATTTCTATGACACATCGAATTGTTGACTTATCAATGTATTTGTCCAAATATGTTCTAAGGGGGTCTCTTTTACGTATGGTTGTGGTGTTGGTGGTGGTGGTGGCGGTGGTGGCGGTGGCGGTGGCGGTGGCGGTGGCGGTGGCGGTGGTGGTGGCGGTGGTGGTGGTGGTGTGGGGGCGCTGGACACAACTCCAAAGTAGCCAATCTCAGCTCACTGAGGCGATGCGTGGCATGAAGCCGTGCGGGGTCGACTGCGGAATGCCACGAAACCTTTCGGGCGCGATCTGAACTTCACGCTAATTGGAGTGTTGTTCGGACAATGCCAGTGCTTGATTCATTTCGTAGTTTGTGAGGAAAAATGGCATCTCACCCCAGTTGGAATAAGTGCATGCCCATCTCCACCCCACATAACGCAGGAACCAAACATCGCTACAGGGACTCAAGCCCAGCTCCACTCGACTGAGTCGGCATGCATAGTCTTTGCTAGATACTGGAGGTCTGGGGCATTTGGCCGGCAAAACAACATGCGGGCTTTTGTCTATCAGAATGAGGAATGAGGAGGAGAAGGATGCTTTTCATGATCATCAGGCATTGTTACATTGTTTAGCTCACAAATAGCCAAAACGTTTGAATGAAAGGGAAAAGACAGAGAGAGTGAAAGGAACGGAGATAAAAAGCATTCTGAAGTTGTAATAGCTAGTCGGGTTAACCCGCGGTAACGACAACATGATGGAGGCGTACCAATTTCCAGGATTAACAGACGGGAAATGGCTCCAATCATCTGTCTCATGTCTTTATCCTTCCCACATCTTCATTCTGGAGAACTCACATGTTGGGGAAGGTAATAAAGGCGGTGACAGATAGGGAATGGGATCTCTTTCTTCCCTTTCGTTTCCTCACTCATCCACATGCCTCATCCCCAATCAAGAATGGGATGAAAAGAGACATGATGGAGAAGATAAAGAAATAGCATGTAACTTCTAGATGGTGAGGAAGTGCTTGGTCTGTCTTCATCATGACCCACTTCCTTCCATCTCTATCATTCCCTCTTTCCCTTTGTCGTCTACTATCCCCGAGCGAAGAGAGGAACAGATGCTGAGGATATAGACGGGAAAGAAGGGAAAGGAAGGAATGTCATCTCTTTCTTTATCATTCACTTCAGTCGCTTCCCTTAGTCTTTCCTAGCGACTGGTCCGCTCATTTCCCTCGCCAATAAGAAATCTCTAGAATGCGAGTGAAGAGATGAGCGGGAGGAAATGAAAGAGATAGAAAGCGATTATGGGTGAGCTGTCTTCATTCCACAGCTCATAGACCCATCCATCCCTTCCTTGTCTGTTTCCCTTTATCTGTCTTTCCTTATCCATTCCTCACCTTTGTGTCGTCTGGAATCTCCGGAAGACAGATAAGACAGACAAAGGGACGAGATGGAAGGGAGAATTAGAATGAAGAATCCAGATGACATGATATCCCTTCCTATGTCATCTCTTCATTCTAGTTCTCATGTCTCTTTCCTGCTTCCCTTGAACTGCCATGACAGAGAGGCGGGGAAGCAGTTAAGAGATGGCCGCTCACATCATAAAATCCTTGACAGTGAGCGGGTTTTTTCCTTGTCGTTCCTGTCTCGTATTCCTGTCCTCTTCACTTTGTTCAACGGTTGACCCTGAGGACTAGAAAAGACAGGCTCTATCTCTTTCTCTCATTCACCTTTCTCATTCTCCTTTCTGTCGTATGACCGGTTAATCCCAGAGACTTACCTATTGACCCCCTTCCCTTCCCTTTCCTACGTTCGGTCATAGGAAGGTAACCAGATGCAGGAAGGAAAAGCATCTGGAAGGCGAGTCCATAAGAAACAAAAAGACTCGCCCTCATGCCTCTTTTCTTCATCCGGAAGGGGCCAACCTGACCCTTCCGCTTTGGGCGAAGCTTGAAAGGAACAAGTAGCCAAGTGTAAAAGGGTGGTATGGGAGGAACACACCACTTCACCTCTGCCCGATAAAATAAATGTGTCGCATAACGAGGGGCTTCCTCGTATAGAGGTGGATTCACCTTTTGGTTTCCCTTAATATGGGTGGGACACTCGTCTTGTTGAGGGCGGCGCTGTTGGTTGCTTTGAAAGGGAAACCAACACAAACCCATATTTTTGGGGAGGGGTGCCCCTATTTTGAGCCAAACCCATATACTGTAAGGGCCCAATCAAGTAGAGTGAAGTTGTGGTGTACTTTAAATCTAAACTAACTCATGATAAGAGCAACATGTTGGCCACAAAAATCATTTCCACTCATATTCAAACCCCATCCGAAACGTTCTCCAAACGAAACCCCGAGTCCACAGCGTCCTCTTCCCCTTTAAACATCACCAAAATAAACTCGCTTTGAAAAGGCCCAAGTTGATGATTGAAACCAAAAAATGGAAATACGGGTGTATCTGTTTTTGAGGGTACCCCTTTTGGTGTTTTTTCAAGCGAAGCCAAAAAGGACAACTATCGTTTTGATCCATTTTGGGGGGGTCCCCTAACCAAAAGACAAGCGACCCATATGGCTGTGGTTGTCAAAACCAATGGTACCATTTTGGGGTAGGTGAATTCACCACCCATGTTGGTCTATTTTAGTGGTTGGATTGGTTGATGTTCACTGGGGGCTGACCGATTTGGACTTTGACCCATGGCCAGAAAAGGGAGGGAACCCTGAGCCAACTCCAACTCCGCTGAAACCGAGGCCGCGGGGCCGGATCCGGAACTCCCGGACCGGCGCCGGCGCCGCCGCCAAGGACGACGCGGTGATTTGGCGGGGGATCCGCGGGGGCGCCTTGGGGCGGTTGCTCTGGACCTGGGCGCGACGGGAGATGCTGAGGGACGGGAACTCGGTCACCACCCACCGTCGAAACTCGAACGTTGCGAAAGGTGTTTGCGAGGGAAAAGGGCAGCATCCTTCCGGTGGGGGTGCGAAATGGAGTTCACAACCATCCACAGTGAATAACGATCAGTAACCATGCCCAATGGGAACAGGTGGCATGAGATTTCAACCAGGAAATGGGGGCCACAATTGCGGGAGCCAACTGAGTGGTACTCACTAGGGGAAGTCTCGGTGTGGTTTCATCGGTATGGGAAAAGCGGCTTCTGGCCATTGGGCTCCAACTAAATGTGGGCCGCCTGATTTTAGCTGAAGACTGCTTCGCCCTTGTCTCCAGTTGTTCTCCCCATGAGAAATGGGCAATCCGGCTCGTTCGCTATGAGATACGGGGGGGTTCGGCCGATGTTGCCAATGAGCTCAAAGCTTCCAACGACAGCTGCTCACATCAAGACAACCGGCTGACAGGTGTGGAGTGAAAGGAGACAGTGTCCACAGAACACGTGGGCAGATCGCCCCTAAGGAAGTGCCCCCAATATGAAGAAAGAAAAGGACCAGAGTGCCCCAAACATCTAAAAAAACAGAGTAGATGTTGGTACGGGGGTTCACCTGCTTGATTGCTCTGCCTTGCTGCTCTTGGCCCTTTTTGGTGGCTTGTCGTTGACAGAGCCCGCCGACACCTGAAGCCAACGAGATTTTGCGGGTACTCTCCACCCAAAAGCAGCAACTAAAACATCCCACCCAACCATTGCGTCATTACGGAAAGCCTTGCTGCAATGAAACAGGGCGATGTTTGATGACATGGATATATGTCAGAAGAGACCACGAAACCCTTGAACAAAGTGGCACTCCTTTAAGGGCTTGCCTTTCAAACCCATCCCTCCCCAGTCCAACACCACCTTCTTGAAAAGTTCCTTTGGGGTTTCCTTGGGGCTTCCCTTTTGAACACCCAGGCGCAAACGCCCCCCGCCTTTTGGGGACCGGTTGGCTTGGGCCCCGCACCCAGGCGCTCAGGAGGCATTGCTCCAGAGGCATCCGGTCCTCTGGCCTCCGTGGGATGGATCCGAGCCGCGAGCCCCCCGCCCCCTGGCCGCCCCCTGGCCGCACCTCGGATGGAAGATGGATGGAGAATGGATGGACGAAGATGGAAGGTGGATGGAAGAAGATGGAAGGTGGGTGGATGGAATGGAAGACGGATGGAAGATGGACGAAAGATAGATAGGAGATAGGATGGGATAAGACAAGACGACAAGGCAAGGTCAGATCAGATAAGATAAGACCAGATAAGATAGGATAAAGATAAGGAAATATGGAAATACCAGACAAGAAATGCAAAGAAAAGATCAGATAAGATGCGATAAGACAAATCGCTTAATAAGATAAGATAAGACAAGACAAGCCACGATAAGATATGGTAAGATAAGATCAGGTCAGATAAAACAAGACTAGATGAGATATGGTAAGATAAGATCAAGTCAGGTAAGACAAGATAAGAAGATCAGATGAGATAACATAATAGAGATAGAATTAGCGGTAGAGATAGAGATAGAGATAAAGATAAGGAAAGATAAGATAGGTCAGGATAGGACAGGATAAAATAGGATTCAAATCAGACAAGATAAGATAGGCAGATGGATAGATGGACAAATGAATAGATACAATTCCATGATGGTTGAGCACCATTGCAGTTAAAAGGAGTGGGGCTTGGGCAACGGTAAAATCACAAATCCCGCGTCACCGGAGTGGTGAAGGCTGTTAAAATGGACGGGGAGCCCCAACATAGCAGGCCCTGGGTGATTCCCCGCTTGTGCTTTGAGCATGCCAGCTGGGTTGCTATGCACCTCGAACCAGCATGCACAAATTAATTTTGCCGGAGTATCTATGTTATGTCCATATCCAAATATCAACTGGACAACAGGCCCTTCGGCAAGGGCCGTCCTTCGGGCCACTGTCCAAACAAAGTGAGAGCAGCATACAATGCGTCTTGAGATAGGAACAACACCCCAACAATTGACTCCATGCTGGTTTCGTTTGAGACATACGGCTACGCAATTACTTTACACCTGTGAACTTAACATCGTGTGATCGACCCGATAGAGCCTGAGCAAAACCACAGGACACGTGAATGAAACTTTTGGACCCTCCGTGTGTTGCAAGATTCGTCCCTGGCATCATCTGTGCTGGTATCGTCTTGCAGCAGCTTTTACCAGGCTCCGCGTTTGTGAGAGTCAGGCGCATCATCTGGATGATGTGAACGGATCTTCTTTCAGAACTCACCGTTGGATGTGAATCTAGACAGCAAAAGCAAGTTGTTGTAGCAGAGGTGCTGTCAACCCAGTTGAAGCAACTCAAAGCATCAAGCTCTTCAAAGTTCAATTGCGGAGGGTGGAATAGCGATCACATCTGCCACGAGCGTCACTAGCATAAAGCGGCAGTTGGCAAATTCCCACTAGCCCATGCTAAAGGGGCCATGTGCCCTTTGTTTCGGAAGGTGGCTGCGAAGCTCGTTTGTCACTGACCTTGGGATTAAATCAGGTCAACTGGTCAAAGTTCTTTTGTGTGGGTCCTTATAATGGCAGGGCGGGGAGCTTCTGCCTGCATCAAAAACGGGCGCATCCCAAACGGATTCAGCCCGCTCGAGATGGTCATTGGTTCCCTTGAAGAGACGCATTCTAGTGGTCCAACAAATCCCGTTCAGACATCGTACTTTCCAGCAAACGGTTTGGATGCGCTTTTTTGTGTGGTATCCCCCTGTTTGTCCTTATTGAGTAATCCTTTAAAGTTCTACAAGGAATGGATCCACAAAAGTTACATCCAAACAGCTTTCTAGCCCCTTAGCACCTCCCACAAATCCCTCCACCACGCGGGCGCCGGCACGTCGGCGCCTCCGCCGGATCAGCCCTGCCATGAGCTCCTCCGCCCGCCCGCTGCCGCGGAAGGAGAAGCGGCCTGCGGATGGAGGGGCTCGAGGTCTCTGACAGATGGAGGGGGCAAAATACTCAGCTTCCCTCCAGCTGATGGTTTGGATTGGTGGCTTGGGGGTGGTTAAGGAGGGCTTCCCAGCTGGTGGGTGGATTGGTGGCTCGGAGGTGTGGGTCCCGGAGGGGAGCCCCCCATCTCATCGAGAGGGTATTCCTAACAAGTCGAACAGCTGTGTCGTGGCCCAGCCAGATTTATGTGTACGTCACGCTCTTCGCGATGCCCTCTCTCCAGCTACCTGCTGAGAGAAATTATTTGAGTGCCTTGGGAACCTGGTCAGTTCAAGAGAACGGGAGCCATCCATTTATGTCCCTGAATTGTAAGACACCACTCTTTTCCGTGGCGGGTTGAACCCCAAGCACAAAGCACCGGGGTGAACCCTGTCTGTTTCTGGCCCCAAGATCGGTTTGGGGGCCAATCCAAGAGGCAAGTCTGAGGTCAAAACAGGTGGCTGGGAAGCTGGGCACGGGTTGGGCAACAGTGGCTCAAACAAGAGACCCAATGAAAGGGACACCTCAAGATCTTTGACCTTCAGCCACAGGAAAATGAAATCTGGCAAACAGCCGCAACTACATGAGCACCTCCGAAACAGGCAGCCCGCTTCAATTTGAAGCGGAAAAAGGTTGCAGTGCAAGACCGCCCCTTTAAATACAGAAGACGTCGGGAACTAACATGTGTGGGGAAGCTAATGAGAAATATGGGAAATTATAGGGGGGATTCTGAGAAGAAAACAAAAGAAGAAACACAAGAAGAAGAATAACAAAAAACAAACTGAAAAAAAGAAGAAAACAACAAACGGGGAACTTCTATTTCGCAAGCACCTTCAGCATTGGGTTCTTCCGGGTGGCCTAACTAGACTCTTGGCGCTAACCCAGCGCTTGAATCGTGAAGGTCAAAAAAACGGTCGGATGGAAAAACTAATTTTGGCCCGGTCAGGATCGGGCTCCCAATTCCTTGTTGAGCTGAGGCCCGCTGACTCGCAAGGGTTCGGATTGCTCCCCACTCGGATGGTCCGAGACGTCGCAAGTCCACAGACCACTCTTAAATTCAAGAAACTCGTCTTTTGTGTTTGTTTTTTTTACCGTCACATGCATTCGTTCTTAGTATATATATATATTAATATATATATATATATATGATTATATATGTTATTACTTCTTGTTTCTTTTTGTAAGAAGCAAATCAATGCGGTGTGTAATAAAAACAACAACAGGCGCTGGAGTAACGCAATGCTCGCAGAGTTGTTCGACCTGGCTGGGAGGTTCTTGCGACCACAAGTCGACCACCACCAAGCGCCAGCGCCTTTTTCAACGATCCAACAGGAAACTGAGGGACTCCAAGACCCCAATCGGCAGCGCTCCGTGCGAAATCGGGGGCCCTGAGAAACGGAATGACCCCAAGAAAAACCATCCAACTGGTGGTTTCCTTTTAGGGTATGGGTTCATTCCCTAGCTCATTCCCTACTAGGGTGGGGCCACCCCTCGGTGTAATCATGTTTAAACCACTGGTTATGATGATTCTTCCCTTGTAAAGCTGGTGTTTCAACCATACTTTCCTCCCCAGCCAGTTCCCTACCCATTCCAATTCTCATTCCCTAAACCATCCCACTGATGGTTTCCTTTAGGGCTATGGGACCTCATTCCCTAGCTCATTCCCTATGGCACCGATCGCAAGCAAAATGCACCGCCGCCCACCCGCGCCTTGGTGGTAGGCCGGATCCTCTGAGCTGCGGAAGGGGTACTGCCCGGTGAGCATCACGTAGAGCACCACCCCCAGGCTCCAGAGATCCGCGCGCCTCGGAAGTCCGGTCTCCGAGGTCCCACGTGCACGGGGCGCTGGCGCGGGCTGCGCGTTGTGCTCGGTTTCTTTGGGTCGGAAGCAAAGAGGAATTCACCCAGTTGGATGGTGAAATGGGCACGGTCCCCTGTTAACTCGCGCTAAAGGAACTCTGACCGGGCGGTCTCACTGAAATTGGGAGCATTGGATTCTCAAAGCATCTCCTATATTCCCCCACCAAGCGTCTCACATCTCAAACTGCCCAGGAAAAATGGTCCGGGCGATCGGCGGAAGGGCGACGTTCGCTTCTTTCTGATTGGGGCGGCCTTTCGGGTCCAGCTGTTCGCTAAGCTCGATGGAGCTGCAAGAAGGCTGTACTGAAAAGCAACGACGGGATCTGGCGAAACCGGCCCACCAGAGAAGCAGAGTGCAGAAAGGTGAAAGGTTCTATTCACAACCAGAAGTGATTGGTTGTTGCCTCATTTACGGAAAAATCAGATGCGCCCCAGCTTTTTGTAAGGGCAATTGGGTGGTTACATTGGCTGAGACCAAACGATTCAAAGGACACCACACGCACAAAGGGTATGTCTTGAGCTGCGCAAGAATCTCGGGGTCCCAACATGCCAGTAAGAAGTCGCTGCCAGGTTGAGTCGTAAGTACCTACTACATTTCTGGGTGAATCACAAGTTGCCAACCTGAAAAGGAGACCGCTATAATTGCTCCATGCCAAACATTTGCCTACAGAAGAATGGGAGTGAAGAACACCTAAGGAACGAAGGGGACGGCAAAGGCTCAAACACATACACGCATTTACGGGTCTTCACACCTGGCTTCGGCTTGCCAAATAAGCCGCATACTAATACATAACCAACTAATAACAGAAAGGCCTGGAAGGTGCTTCAGAACCATAGGGGTGCGCCCCATTCAGCAGTTGTCGTTTTGCCGACCACGGAAGTCGCCAAGAATGCAGACAGGTTGGATGCGGGCGTGGGAAAATTCAGGGAATCTCGTCTGTCAGGCGGTACCAAACATATAGAATATGACTCATCGGCAGTGCTCGCGGTTCCTCCTCTGGAACGCAAGGGGCTCGCCAAGATGTTGCCCTTGTTTTCACAACCCTTCCGGATGTGTTTCCCAACTCATGTCAAAGTTCAGCATCAGAGCGAAGCGTGCAAGCAACAGCAGCCCTTACAGCTGGTGTCCAATTCGTTCGACACGGCGCTACGTTCCAAAACTTGCCATGTTCCATGAACCTTGGGCCCTTGATTCAATGGGAAGGGTTCAAAGATTCAGAAGTTGCAACGCCAAATTCCCAAAGATTGCAAGTGAACCACCCACATCCAACCACAAACCCCAGGTAAACACCGGTGCATCGCCACAACCCCAGGTTTTTGCCGGATGACCAAAACTCCCGATGATTTCTTCCCTTCCGCTACGCATCCCCTGTCCGCGCCCTGGGCCCGGCGCTCGTCGTAGTTGCACTTGCTGATGCTCGCAACTTCGGGTGCCAAGTACTGCGGGGTGCCTCAGGCTGGTCTCCAGGCAAAAGAGCCATTGGGGGGAATCCCCTAGTTGGGGGGCGTCATTTTAGGGGATGGCGGTTGTCCTTTTGGTGTCCCTTCAAAACCACTAAAAAAGGGGTTCCCTCGAAAGAAACACCCATTTCAGCAAACATCATGTGGGAAAAAAGACGGTTCGCTGTATGTCAGGATGTTCTGAGTCTTTCAACAAAAACCACGAGATACTGCAAGGTTCAGCGTTTAGCACCAGAGCAGTTGTTGCCTCCACCCAACTCAGGTAGGGGCAATCTATTAGTCCATTGCAGGCAAGGTGTGAACACCTTGCTGCTCCACAATAAGAGGTAGTGATTATTTATTTCCACCAACCACACTGGTTAGGTGGTTCCTTACTAAAGTTCATGGCCAATCCTTATTGTTGGAACCCAGGAAAGCCACGTCCTATGTGGCTCAGTTTGATCAGTCGCAATGGTATCTAACATTCATGGCCAACTGAGTGAGCAATGTATAACAAACTTGGCAAGCACATTGGGGCTGGGAGGAACACACAAACCACGCAAACTCTTGCAGGCACACACGCACGCACGCACGCACGCACGCACGCACGCACGCAGGCAGGGACGTAAGGCTCGACACGGGGACGCTCTCGGAGATGCTCGCTCCAATTGATTCGACCGCGGGGCCCACGTGGGAGCGCGCGAAGGTGTAGCCGTCCCTCACCAGCTTGGAGTGCCCAAAGTCCGAGAGCTTCACCTAGCGACAGCTGCGACAGCGAGCCCTGGCACAAAAATAATGGGCTGAGTATATAACTCTATATGCACACACATACACATACACATAAATGCATATGTATATACATATATACATACATATATACATATATATATATATGTATATATGTATATGCCTACGCATGACCCGATGAAGGCCCAATGGTGTTTACACAATTCCACTTGTTTTCATAAAAACCCAACAAGTTTACATTGTGGGATATAGGGGGTTCTCAAAATGGATTTCGTACTTCCTGAAAGGGGCCAGTAGATAGAAGGAAACCCAAGAGGAAACCGTTGTGCCGTTTTAGGGGACGAATTTGAGAAGCCCCCATCCATAGGTCATAAAACCCGTCCAAACTCTAAAGTGTCACCTCCAAACTCTCAAGCGTCGAAAAGTCGAGCCTGGCTAACCGCCAAATGAGAAGCACAGTTGGCCCAAGGGGACCCAAAAGGAGGCGCCAAGTCTCTACCCGGTGGCTTCGCTTCCCCAACGGGGGGGAACAAGCCTGCCAAAGGAAGTGATCCAAACACTGAGGTGGAACATGTCCCGCTTGCCCTGAGTCCATTTCCACGCGATTTCGCGGTGGGCGGCCAGGACTCCTTTTTACGCCTAGGCCAAAAACCTGTTTGGACTTTGCCCCCTTGGCTTGGCCGTCATAGTCCGACAAACCTTACAAATACGAAACTCCACCAAACAAATCCACATCGGTCAACTTGTGTCTTTGCGCCGGTGTCCGGCCGTAAGAAACCCTGCTATGAAAAGCAGGTCTGGCCCTGTACATGAGTTGGTGAGGAGCCAATTAATGGCTAGAAGTCCCCGACGAATCTCAACCCCTCGTGCAAAGCTCCCTCAACACAATGGGCACTGCCTCCACAAACAGGCACGTGTTGGGACATGAACAAAAACCTTTTTCAATCAACCTGCCTTGCAGCCCTGTCATTCTTAGTGTTGAAACACTACCACCCTTGGGAAAGTGTCCACTTCCATTGCTGGCAACTCTCCTGGGACCACCCAAATTGTTGGGCTGCATCCGCCCGTACTCGAGTTTGACTCCAAAAAGGTACCCTCAGAACCCTCGGACCAGCATTAGTACACAATGTGTTCGTGGTTGATTGATATACTCATATACCCTCCCACCAACTAGCATGGAAGTGCAAAAAGGCCAACTAACCAAGAGGAAAGTCGTCTTTCTACAGGGGTCTCTGCGGTTTCATGGTAGCTGGAGGAGGGTACGTTAACCCCTCCAAGAAACTTGGTTTTTGTTGACCCCCCTGCAAAAAGTGAATATCTTTTAGGGGGTTTAGTGGCAAACCCAACTTGATTTCAACTGTAACAAAAGTTAAAGTCTAAAGACTCGTAACCCAATAGCAGTTAAGGAAAGAAGAACCGCCGGTCACCACAGGTCTGGGTCCCCGCCCCCCAAAAAACAACGGAACTCCGCCTCCACGGGCTTGGGCTTGTGCCGCCGGTCGCGGACCTCCTCAGGGCGATCCACCTCAGAATCGGCAGAGTCGGCACCGCCTTTTGGGGCGGTTTCCAGGCAATTCCTAGGGAATTCCAATCAAAAAAGGGGGGTTCCGAGGGAGTTCCAATCAAAAAACCTTGGCGGATTTTCAGGAGTTTTGCAGACACCCCCTCCGTGGCGCCGTTTTGATGGGAATTCAAGGGAAGCCAACAATTCAGGCCGTCCCAGCAGAAAATCAAAAAGAGCTTCGAGTTTTTCCCCAAACAGTTTACTGTGAGGGGTTCTAAATTCATTTAAGGTGGCTCGCCTGTTGCCAAGCCCTAGCCTGGATGCCTGGCACAGCTCTCTGGGTGGACGGGTTCATTTGTCTCCCTGTGTCTCCCTTCATTTGTCTCCCGTTGTCTCCCCGCCTGGATGCCTGGCACGGCTCTCTGGGTGGACGCGTTCGTTTGTCTCCCTGGGTTCACTTGTCTCCCTTTGTCTCCCTTCATTTGTCTCCCGTTGTCTCCCAGCCTGGATGATCCAGTCTGGGTGGACGGGTTCATTTGTCTCCCTTTGTCATTTGTCTCCCGTTGTCTCCCAGCCTGGATGCCTGGCACGGCTCTCTGGGTGGACGGGTTCATTTGTCTCCCTTTGTCTCCCTTCATTTGTCTCCCAGCCTGGATGCCTGGCGCGGCTCGGGTTCATTTGTCTCCCTTTGTCTCCCTTCATTTGTCTCCCGTTGTCTCCCAGCCTGGATGCCTGGGTGGACAGATTCACTTGTCTCCCTTTGTCTCCCTTCATTTGTCGCCCGTTGTCTCCCAGCCTGGATCTGGCACGGCTCTCTGGGTGGACGGGTTCATGTGTCTCCCTTTGTCCCCTTCATTTGTCTCCCGTTCTCTCCCAGCCTGGATGCCTGGCACGGCTCTCTGGGTGGACGGGTTCATTTGTCTCCCTTTGTCTCCCTTGATTTCTCCCGTTGTCTGCCAGCCTGGATGCCTGGCACGGCTCTGGGTGGACGGGTTCATTTGTCTACCTTTGTCTCCCAGGATGTCTGGCACCCCTTTGTTTCCCTTCATTTGTCTCCCGTTGTCTCCTAGCCTGGATGCCTGGCACTGTTTTTTTGGTGGACAGATTCACTTTTCTCCCTTTGTCTCCCTTCATTTGGCTCCTGTTGTCTCCCAGCCTGGATGTCTGTCACGGCTCTCCAGGCGGACGGATTCACTTGTCTCCCTTGGTTCCCCTTCATTTGTCTCCCATCTCTGTGGGTGGACGGATTCATTTGTTTCCCTTTGTCTCCCTTTATTTGTCTCCCGTTGTCTCCCAGCCTGGATGCCTGGCACGGCTCTCTGGGTGGACGGATTCATTTGTCTCCCGTTGTCTCCCAGCCTGGATGTGTGGCACTCACGCTCCGCGGTTTCCTTCACTTCCCGCGGTTCTGTCCTTTTGGCGGGGTCTGGTTTGCCTTCGGCTTTGGCCCTGGCTTCGGTCATTCCTTGTCTTGTGGATGTTGGGGACAGGGTCCTCCTCTGTCTGCCCTTCATCTGGACTTCGATTTCGCTTGGGCTCGTGGTGGGTCGTCTTCCTTGTCTATCGTTGGCTACACCCTGTCTGTTCGTTCAGTGCCTCGTTATCAGTTGCGGTCCCGAGCTGACGATAGCGGTGCGCTGCGGTGCGCGGCTTCAGCTACGAGAAGGCTCTGTTAACCCCCCGGTGAAACAAACGTGAATCACGCTGGAGTTAAATCCTCTATCGATTCTTCGAGGATGTTCAACGAACCTTACGCTGAGATACCCAGTGGTGCTCTTGGCACCTGGGGTTGTCCCGGCTCTCCCGGCGGACGGGTTCATTTGTCTCCCTCTCCCTCCATTTGCCTGACGGATTCATTTGTCTCCCTTTGTCTCCCTTTATTTGGTTCTGGTTGTCTCCCAGCCTGGACGCCTGTCACGGCTCTCTGGGGTGGAGGGGTTCATTTGTCTCCCTTTGTCTCCCTTCATTTGTCTCCCGTTGTCTCCCAGCCTGGATGCCTGGCACGGCTCTCTGGGTGGACGGGTTCATTTGTCACCCTTTGTCTCCCTTCATTTGTCTCCCGTTGCCTCCCAGCCTGGATGCCTGGCACGGCTCTCTGGGTGGACGGGTTCATTTGTCTCCCTTTGTCTCCCTTCATTTGTCTGGCACGGCTCTCTGGGCTTTGTTTCCCTTCATTTGTCTCCCGTTGTCTCCCAGCCTGGATGTCTGGCACGGCTCTCCAGGCGGACAGATTCACTTGTCTCCCTTTGTCTCCCTTCATTTGTCTCCCGTTGTCTCCCAGCCTGGATGTCTGTCACGGCTCTCCAGGCGGACGGATTCACTTGTCTCCCTTGGTTCCCCTTCATTTGTCTCCCATCTCTGTGGGTGGACGGATTGATTTGTCTCCCTTTGTCTCCCTTTATTTGTCTCCCGTTGTCTCCCAGCCTGGATGCCTCTCTGGGTGGACGGATTCATTTGTCTCCCTTTGTCTCCCTTTGTTTGTCTCCCGTTGTCTCCCAGCCTGGATGCCCCTCTGGGTGGACGGATTCATTTGTCTCCCGTTGTCTCCCAGCCTGGATGTGTGGCACTCACGCTCCGCGGTTTCCTTCACTTCCCGCGGTTCTGTCCTTTTGGCGGGGTCTGGTTTGCCTTCGGCTTCGGCCCTGGCTTCGGTCATTCCTTGTCTTGTGGATGTTGGGGACAGGGTCCTCTGTCTGCCCTTCATCTGGACTTCGATTTTGCTTGGGCTCGTGGTGGGTCGTCTTCCTTGTCTATCGTTGGCTACACCCTGTCTGTTCGTTCAGTGCCTCGTTATCAGTTGCGGCCTCTCTCTGTCCTTGCTCGCATTTGGAGTCCCGAGCTGACGAGAGCGGTGCGCTGCGGTGCACGGCTTCAGCTACGAGAAGGCTCTGTTAACCCCCCGGTGAAACAAACGTGAATCACGCTGGAGTTAAATCGTCTATCGATTCTTTGATGATGTTCAACGAACCTACGCCGAGATACCCAGTGGTGCTCTTGGCACCTGGGGTTGTCCCGGCTCTCCCGGCGGACGGGTTCCTCTCCCTTCATTTGCCTGACAGATTCATTTGTCTCCCTTTGTCTCCCTTTATTTGGCCCCGGTTGTCTCCCAGCCTGGATGCCTGTCACGGCTCTCTGGGTGGACGGATTCGTTTGTCTCCCAGCTTGGATGTCTGGCACGGCTCTCCGGGCGGACGGGTTCATTTGTCTCCCTTTGTCTCCTTCTTGTTGTCCCCCAGCCTGGATGCCTGGCACGGCTCCCTGGTCATTCGCGGTGTATTCCGCGGGCACGCATGTGTGTTTGAGGCTCAGAAACGTGTGTTTGAGCGCGCGCGTGCGCTTGATCAAGCCACAGGCAGCATGCTGCGGATGCACGTACGAGTGCTTCAAGTAAATGATTGTGTGTTCTTGGTGTGTTCCAGCTGACCACATCGGCGCGTTCCAAGTGAACACGCACTTTTTGCATGTGACCACATGAGTGTGTTCCACGTCAGCACATGTTTGTGTTCCAGGTGAAAGCATGCGATTGTTCTGATAAAACACATATGCGATCCGGTCAAAATTCCTAGTAAGGGGGTTTAGTCTACAGAGGCCACCGTCGCAGTCACTTTGTGCAGTTTTTCATTCACACAAAGCGGAGTCCTGCAAATACCAATGGATTGCCCGCTCCCCACTGGAGGCGCTAGGATGGCGCTTGGTTTGCGCTAGGGTCTTCGGTGATCTTGGTTTCCAAGAGTTGGCGCGTGGGTTGCCGCGATGGGCTTTGCGTGGCTTTCAAGGGTGTAATGTTGCAGTTCTTACTTAGTACTTGAAGCCAGCCCGCACGTTTACCTTCATCTTACGTGGCCTTAATTTGTCAAATCCACACAGATGGTCGCCGTGACTCCAAAAAATACGGCGAACCCGCGCTAGCCGCGCGCTAGCAAGGCGCTAGCGCAGTGGTCAGCTGTGACCGGTTCCCAGTTACGCTTCAATCCAAATTTGCTTCCGCTCTCCTCGCATGCAATTATCATGGAGTGCGATTTGCTGGACAAAGGGGAGAAACAACGGCTGAGGCAAGACGGCAGGGATGCCTTGTACCGAGCATACGGAAGAATTGGGTTGCGTATTTCCCTGCGAAAGCAAATGCTTTACTGAATCGATACGAAGAGTTGCCACAATACGATCAAAGCACTTTAGCAATCGATACGAAAGACACTGTGCAGCTAAGCGAGAAAGAAGCGCAATGCGCCGGAAAGCTTTTGCTAAGCTGAAGCCTGTAACTGCTGGAGACGCATCCGATACTGATAGTACTAGCAGTAGTAGCAGCAGCAGCAGCAGCAGGCTCGCGCGCTAGCAATGTGTTGCAAAAAAGCTAGATTGATCGTACACGAACACTATTTTCCTACTTGGAACACGCATATAAAACACAAGCGTTGTTCAAGGCAGAGCCCCATGGAATAGCGCCTCACAGCCGGCTTCGGGAACTTGATTTATGTGTCGCCCAGGCGTGCAGGAAATGTAAATTCCATGTGAACACATTTTTGTTGTCCAGGTGAACGCATGTGTGTTGCACATTTGTGTTGCACATGTTTCTCCACATGTGCACACACGTGTGTTCCATGTGTACACATATGTGTGTTACAAGTCAACACAGAAGTTTGTTCTGGTTAAACATGCTTGTGTGATCCAGGTCTGCACCAGTGTCGCACGTGAACACAAATGCCTGTTCCAAGTGAGCGCATATATGGGTTCCAGGTGAACACATATGTGTGTTGCAGGTGAACAGAAATGTGCTTTCCAGACATACACACATATGTGTTCCAGGTGTACGCATGTGTGTGTGTGCGTGTTCCGGGCGCGCATATATATATATATATATGTGTGTGTGTGTGTTCGCGTGTGCACATATGTGTGTTCCACATGTACACATATGTGCGTTCACGTGCGCACATATGCGTGTTGCACGTGTACACATATGTGTGTTCACGTGTACACACATGTGTGTTCTTATCAGACACGTGTATGTGTTCCAGGAGAACACATGTTTGTTATCAGATGAACACGTGCGTGTGTGTCTGCTCCGCGTGCACTTTTTTTGTATGTGTGTTCACGTGCACACATTGTGTGTTCACGCGTGCGCACATGTGCGTTCCAACTGGACACGTGTTTGTGTTCCAGGAGGACACATGTTTGTTATCAGATGAACACGTGTGTGTGTGTGTCTGCTCCGCATGCGCATGTGTGTGTGTTCATTTGCACACATATGTGTGTTCCACGTGCACACATTTGTGTGTTCACGTGTCCACACATGTGTGTTCCAATTGGACACGTGTTTGTGTTTCAGGTGAATACATGTTTGTTTTCAGATGAACGCACGTGTGTGTGTGTGTTCCGGGTGCGCATATATATGTGTGTGTTCACGTGTACACATATGTGTGTTCACGTGTACACACGTCTGTGTTCCAATTAGACACACGGTTGTGTTCCAGGAGAACACGTGTTTGTTATCAGATGAACACTCGTGTGTGTCTGTGTTTTCCGCGCGCGCATAAATGTGTGTGTTCACATGTGCAGTACACATGTGTGTGTTCCACGTGTGCTGTGTTCACGTGTACACATATGTGTGTTCACGTGTACACACGTCTGTGTTCCAATTAGACACACGGTTGTGTTCCAGGAGAACACGTGTTTGTTATCAGATGAACACTCGTGTGTGTCTGTGTTTTCCGCGCGCGCATAAATGTGTGTGTTCACATGTGCAGTACACATGTGTGTGTTGCACGTGTGCACATGTGTGTGTTCACGTGTGCGCATTTGCGTCTCCCACGTGTACACATATGTGTGTTCACGTGTACACACATGTGTGTTCCAATGGACACGTGTTTGTGTTCCAGGTGAACACATGTTTGTTTTCAGATGAACACTCGTGTGTGTGTGTGTTCCGGGTGCGCGTATATATGTGTGTGTTCACGTGTACACATATGTGTGTTCACGTGTACACACGTCTGTGTTCCAATTAGACACACGGTTGTGTTCCAGGAGAACACATGTTTGTTATCAGATGAACACGTGTGTGTGTGTCTGCTCCGCGTGCACTTTTTTGTATGTGTGTTCACGGCACACATTGTGTGTTCGCGCGTGCACACATGTGCGTTCCAACTGGACACGTGTTTGTGTTCCAGGAGGACACATGTTTGTTATCAGATGAACGCGTGTGTGTGTGTGTGTGTCTGCTCCGCGTGCGCATGTATGTGTGTTCATTTGCACACATATGTGTGTTCCACATGTACACATTTGTGAGTTCATGTGTCCACACATGTTTGTTCCAATTGGACACGTGTTTGTGTTTCAGGTGAATACATGTTTGTTTTCAGATGAACGCACGTGTGTGTGTGTGTTCCGGGTGCGCATATATATATAAATATGTGTGTGTTCACGTGTACACATATGTGTGTTCACGTGTACACACGGTTGTGTTCCAATTAGACACACGGTTGTGTTCCAGGAGACCACGTGTTTGTTATCAGATGAACACTCGTGTGTGTCTGTGTTTTCCGCGCGCGCATAAATGTGTGTGTTCACATGTGCAGTACACATGTGTGTGTTCCACGTGTGCACATGTGTGTGTGTTCACGTGTGCGCATTTGCGTCTCCCACGTGTACACATATGTGTGTTCACGTGTACACACATGCGTGTTCCAATTGGACACGTGTTTGTGTTCCAGGAGAACACATGGTTGTTATCAGATGAGCACACGGGTGTGTGTTCCGGGTGCACATATATGTGAGTGTTCACGTGTGCACATATGCGTGTTCACGTGTGCACATATGTGTGTTCCACGTGTACGCACATGTGTGTTCCAATTGGACACGTGTTTGTGTTCCAGGTGAACAGATGTGTGTTTCACGTGAACACATTAGTATGTGCTAGGTGAACTTTTTTTGGCATCTGACGACATATTTGCTCTCCAGGTGTGCACATGTATGCGCTCCAGAAAACGCATGATTGTTTTCGAGGTGCGCGCATGTGTGTGCGATTTAGGTGAGCATTTATGTTTGCTCACGTGTGCGCATATGTGTGTTCCACATGTACACACATGTGTGCTTTAATCGCACACGCGGTGTTCCAGGTGGACACATGTTTGTGTTCCAGTGGTATACATATGTGTGTCCCACGCGTACACACATGTGTGCTTTAATTGCGCGTCTTTGTGTTCCAGGTGAACGCATGTGTGTTCCACGTGTACACACATGTGTGTCTGAATTGGACACGCGTTTCATTGTGTTCCAAGTGAACACACATGTGTGTTCCACGTGAACGCATTAGCGTGTCGTAAGTGAACACATATGTGCGTTCCACGTTTGCACATGTGTGTGTGCTTTCCAAGAAGCACATGTTTGTTTTCCAGCTCAACACATTTATGCGTGTGCCGCAGGTGAATGTATACTGTTTCAGTCGTATACGTATGTGTGTTCCACGTGTACACACATGTGTGTCTGAATTGGACATGTGTGTTTGAACTGCCCATGTGACTGCGTGCTTGCGCGGCCACACTTGCGTTCACGCGCGCGCGCTCGCCCGCCATCGCGCGCGCTTGCCCAACCTCAGTTCTGGCGCGGTGCTGAAGCGCGAAGCACGCCAGCAACACACGTGCAGCAACGCAACGCGCGCCAGGTTCACGACTGCATCATTTTGATTCATCCGTGTTGAAGCGCAGAAAGCCACAAGCTGTTGGCATGTTTGTGCTCGCCCGTCAGCCCTCAACTGTTTGGGGTCTCTGCTGGTGTAATTTAGCTTGCTGGTGCGATAGGCAGATGACCCCAAATATCACCACCCAAGTGGTGGTTTCCTTTAAAGGAACCCCTGCGATTTTCGGGCGGTTTTGAAAAAAACATCCTGAAAAAAGCCAACAATTGAGACCATCCCTGCAGAAAAAGGAGTTTTGCAGACACCCGCTTTGGGGCATTTGGCTTGCTTGTGCGATAGGTAGGGCGAATGACCCCAAGAGAAACCATCCTGATTTCCTTTAAGGGAACCCCTGGGTTCATTTCCTCATTCCTGACTGACCAGCAAGTTGGAGCTGTTTTAAAGAAGATGTGTGATGAAACAGATGCATCGATCCCCGAGAAGACCAACTTTGAAGAAACCAGTGATAACGGTGGCAAAGGCTTTGCAAGGAGCCAAATGACCATGGGTCAAAATCCAAATCGTACCCCCAATAAACATCCCAATCCCCACTAAAATAGACTAAAATGGGTGGTGCACCTGCCCCAAAATGGGATTCCATTGGTTTTGACCCACAGCCAAATGGGAACAGTAAAGTAGCTCAGTGACATGCCATCACAATTGCCTACCTCCTTGCACTCCTGCATCGAGGACACTATGGGCTACCCCAAGAAGACGCTTCCATGTTCTTTCCCCCACGACGAGCAACAGGACTGGTATCAGTAACGGAATCTCAAGAACGAATAAGGGAGCCACCGCCCAGAAGACAAATTTAGTGGGGGCTCGTCTCCCCTCGAAGATCCGCGGATCTGGCGCGAGAAGTTCAACGGAACTTGCAGGATTCGCTGGCAAAGCACCTTTTTTCTTAGGTGGCAATCCTTCTTTTCTTGGCCCGCTCCTGATATGTCAAAAGTGCGATTTCTTCAGCTTCCATTCCATATTTAGTGAACCTCTCCAATGTACCCTTCCATCCATCACGGGAATACACACCTAACAATTACAGGGATCCTTACATTTTGCACCTGAACATTGCCTTGTAAATGGCGGTTTCCCTTTATTTTGGTGGAAAAAGTCATGTTTCAAATGGGCAAAATGTATCTTTTAGGGAGCCCTATCTAACGGGATGGTTTTGGAAGGCAAGCAAAAAAGCCGGAGCACCCCGAAACGGCTGAATCAGCCGAGGGCACCAAGAGGATGTTCTGTGGCTTGAGGTCGCGGTGCACGATGTTCTTGGAATGTATGTGGCACCTCAACGTGCGAGCCAAGGAGCCAGCCAGGAGGTTGCGGAAATCTACATTTTGGACTTGGTATCCTCTTGGGTGGCAAAAAGGGAAACCAAAAGGAAGCAAAACACTTTTGGGGTCTCACACCCACATGTCAGAGTCTGGCACATGTGCGCACGTGTGTACTTGTGCATCATGGACGTTACAAGTTGCTATTTGTGCATCAAAAATGGAGAGTGATTTATATTGGTCTCGTGTTTGCATGTAAAGGATACAATCGACCAAACAATGTTGCTGCTCATGAATCGTTGCTTTCCCCGAGCCCCATTGGACATTTTCCAGGCAAATACATCTGGCTGTGATTGTCTGCAGCGTCCCCAACAAGGTTCAACGACTTTTGACCCCACACTGATGTGGCAACCAAACAAGGCGGCCCTTGCCCTATCTTCAAGCGCAAGCAACACAAAAGTGTAGCCCAGCCTGTCTGGGTATCTTTAACTAGGTCCTCCAGTAAAGAGCTTAGAATAGGGGGACCCCCCCCCCAAAAAAAAAAAGAAGTAAAAGGGCACTACTGGAGGACCTAGTTCATGGTACTTGGGGCGCGGGCCGCAAGTCTTTAGGGCTGCTTGTTGACCCGCCATGTGAGGTCCGGTGCAGGACAAACCTGTAAAGACAAGAAACAACCGGCCGGGAGGGAATGTGCGTTCTAAAGATTTCGTGTCGTTCATGTCCATCCCAGGATTCGCGACATTGGCGAGGAATTGTCACATACCCGCATCAGCCATTCACAGAAATGTTGGAGAGCAGATATGATGTGTGCTTTTCCCCGAGGCGTCGGTGGGGTGCATGAATTTAAATCAGCCTTGCTGACAGGTTCGAGCATGGCCTCAGCTGAGGGGAACTAGGTTGAACGATTCCGTCAATGTCAGCGGAACAGAATTGGCCAAAATACACAACTCTGCCCGGGTGTCTTTTTGAAGCTTGACAACGGAGTGAGAGTCTCTTTCAAGCTGGCAACCCAAAAAAAGAACTGGCCCTTCCTTCCCTTCTCCCATGATCTGAGCGGCAGCCCATCCACGATCTGAAGGAAGACGTGGCAGGCCTCCCGGTCGTCCATGTGCCGATCGGGCTTGCTCAGGAGGTACTCGCTGAGGTCCCCCCCTCGCACCAGCTCCATGACCATGAAGAAGGTGTGAGATGACCTGAACAACATCTGGGTGTGGCTCAAAATTAACCAGGAGGGGTTTTGGTCCATGTTTCCACTTACCGATCGGGTTCCATTTACCGGTTTTTTGAGTCACAGCCATCTCGGTCCCACTCAAATAAAAAAGGGGCGAAACGGAAAACCCCGTCGAGGCCACCTCCCGGAGCACTGGGACATGTCCAAAAAGCAGTCGGTACATCTGTGGCAAAGAGGACTCCGGAAATGGTTTTTCTCCCCGTACCTGTGTCACGGTGCTAGCTCCGACCCTGTCCCAAAAATTAAGTGGACCTTTCCAGATGGAACGCCTAGAAGTGGCACATGAAAAAACGCGCACCATGCGTAAGGAATTCCAAGGGACTTGAACATCCCAGCGGCCGGAGCCACGGGCGCGACCAAACGGGGATGTGACATCTGTGTCTTGAGTGCGCCCTTTTTATGGGTGTTTCCATGGGGAACCGAAGGAAACTACATGTTTTCGGCTGGCAGAAGAGGACTTCCTCAGCTGAGGCTTTGCACAAAACAGCAGAGAAATGAAATTCTGGAAGGGCTTGTTCGATGTCACAAAAACCAGAAGGAAACCAATCACTTGGGGGGGCCCTAATTTTAAGGCATGCCCAAATGGGTGGTTCCCCTTGAAAAAGCGTCCTGCCAAAAGGGCCAAAGGGCCACCGTCAGGGACATAATTATCAAAGCAAATGGCCCTACGCCTCAGCAACACAAACAGCTAAGTTGACGAGAACTCTTGGCTTCACCACTGTTGCGATCTTGTGGAATTTGCCGAAAAAATCTGAGCTGCTTAGCAAACGCAGAGTGCGCAATGATTGGGGAAAAAACGACCTCTCGCAGCATCCTCTGAATTCAAATCTCTAGGGGTACCTTCCCCATTCTTTCCAGGGATCCTTCTTTCCTGAAAACCACCAAGAAACCTGGGGAAACAGCTGGTTATTGAGAAGAACGATGGTTGGAAAAAAATGGGGAATCAACCCCTAGAAAGTTAGTCACTGCCAGTGCTCCGGCAGGGCAGGAAGGTGCCCGTGAAGGAAAGCCTGCAACAACCCACGCACCCGTCCCGCGCAGTTCGGAGAGAGCGACTCGCTGACGTCCACCAGTTTCACGATATTCCTCCCAGAGAATCTGTTTGTTTCTTTTATTCCTTTCCCCCTATTAATAAAGGTCTCCTTCTTTGTATTAGGCGGGGGTGCCCCCTTTTGTTAGGGGGAAGGGATTAAGATGGAAAGTGCAAACTGGGTCCCAGCTTACGCGTAAGCATGTGACCAAGAGGTCCACTCCAAGCGTGGTCTGTGGTTCGACCCATGCCTACTTGGAGCCAGAATTCCATGCGCCACCCGGCCACCCGGCCACCCGGCCACCCTCAAACTGGTGTCTCGGTCACAGCCCCGAAAAGGGTACCACCAAAAAAACACCGTCCCATGCTTCACTCAAGCCGTCCGACAGCAAATTGGGACCTACGCCCCAGGGCGTAAACAAAATTCGGACATCCCACACACATGAGCGGAGTTTCTCTCACCTCATGGGGGCGTTCGATCCGAAAAAAAAACGCCCGTCCTGTGCTGGAGCATTAAGAGGAGGGACATCTCCCTCATGATCTGCTGCCGCAGTTTATCAAAACCTGGATGTAGGCAGAAGCGATGGAGATCGATGACCTTCACAGCCTGAGCTGCACCGGCGGAAAGCCTACTAAACATGAAAAATCAGTGCATCCGCCGGACAGGTTACCTAGGTCTGAAAAATGAAAACTCGCCTCACGGGCTCAGACTCACCTCCCCTGGCTCCAGTTGGCATTGGCGACTCGCTTCAAATCGCATCCATGTAGAATTCACCGGAAGACTGGGATAATACAAGACAAGGCTCGCCAAACAGAATGGCCCTTAGAGATACTGCAGGTTGGCCGGGTGATAATGCGGTCACGGAGCGGCTGGCCAAATGGAAAAGGACGGGTCCCACTATGGCTGTGATTTGACCATACAGGGCACCCTAGCATCATAAGATGTGTCAGATTGATCGGAGTCTACCGGCAAAAACAAAGGCGCAGACACGGACACAGACGCAGACACAGACACACACAAGAAAACAAACAACCAAACAAGCAAGCAAGCAAACAAACAAACAAAAAAGCACACAAACAAACAAACACAAAAACAAACAAACAAACAAACAAACAAACAAACAAACAAAACAAACAAAGCACACAATCAAAAAAAACAAACACAAAAACAAACAAACAAACAAACAAACAAACAAACCAAACAGACCAAACAAACCAACCAACCAACCAAACAAACAAACAAACAAGCAAGCAAGCAAACAATCAAACAAATACACAAACACACACAAACAAACAAACAAGCAAATAAACAAAAAAAACAAAACAAAAAAGAAACAAGTAAACAAACAAACAAACAAACAAACAAACAAACAAACCAACAAACCAACAAACCAACAAACCAACAAACCAAACAAACAAACAAACAAACACAACCAACAAACAAACAAACAAACAAACAAACAAACAAACAAACAAAAGACAGAAAGAAAGACAGAAAGAAAGAAAGAACGAAAGAAAGAAAGAAACACATGAAAGAACCAAACATACACACAAACACACAACAAAGAAGCAAACAAATAAATAAGTAAACAAACAGACAAACAAATAAACAAAGAAACAAAACCAACACACAATCAAACAAACAAACACACAAACAAACACAAAAACAAACAAGCACAAAAACAAACAAACAAACAAACAAACAAACAAGCAAACAGACCAAACAGACCAAACAGACCAGCCAAACAAACAAACAAACAAACAAACAAGCAAACACGCAAGCAAACAATCAAACAATCAAACAAATACACAAACACACAAACACACAAACAAATAAGCAAAGAAACAAATCAACAAGGAAACAAACACGCAAACACACAACATCCGTTTGCAACGAAAGCCCTTACATTAAAAAAACGGATCCTTTCCTCTTGAGCCAGACCCAAAAACCCAAAGCAACAATCCCCCCCCTGGCTTTGGGGTCGGCTCCGGTCGTAGCTTTAAAATCTGTCCGCAAAAGGTTTGATGGGCCGTCGCCCTGAGAAAGCCACCGAGATTTTCGGCCAAAGCCCGGGTTTCAGATTGGGCATCTCAAAGAGAGAAAGACTTGCTCGGTGATTCGGAAAGCCCACCCCAAAAAGCAAACAGGGGGGTGGATCCCGATGCTGAGGAGACCCTTGGAAGGATCTCAAAGGCAAAGTGAGCCCAAAGGTTGAAGAGCTCATGCTGTACAATCCCAAATGATATGCTTCATTCTGGTCCATGTGCGGTGAACCACATTGTAAAATACAGAAATCAAAAGAGGCAAACCCCTGCGGAAAAGGGTCAAGGCAGGTTGTTTGCAGGATTGTGTCCGTCGGGCGGACGCCCCAAGGATGTGTGTCCAGAAAAATCGGAACCCTTGGTGGTTTAAGGAAACCAGAAGACCTCGCTGGACACTGTTCGAAAGGAGACGCACGTTAGGAAAAAATCGGACGCAAGCACGCAGCAAGTTGAACAAATCCAGTGAGTTGCAAATACAACAGGGACTCCTCGGGAATCATTGTAAAGGGGGTTCCCTGACATGGCATGTCATGCTCGACTTGTGGCTAATGGTGAAGATTGACTGTTGCTCACTGCTCGCCTCCAAATTCCCAGCTTAGAAATACAAGGCGTCATGCCCCACGATGACAATTCTCATCTGAAATAGAGATCATCTTCTGCTGCCAGCCCAACTGCTGGATCTATGGGACAATCAGACTTCGCGGTTTGCCGCTTGTAAAACGAGTCGCAAGTGTATAAGCTACTCGAAGAACTTGTTTTACACACCAACAGCATGGAAGCATTCTGTTGAAGCATTTGAACCAGCCCACGCCATGCATCATGTTCACAGCTGCCCAGCTTTTTTCAAGCAAACAACTCATTGGAGCTTCAATCTAGCCAAGGGCTTGTTGTGAAAACTAGGGATCGAACCCGCCAGTGGCTTGCATGGTGTTGGCTTCCATTTTAAACCCATACAAAAAAAGTTTACCGTACCTGGTCATGACTCACATGGCCATCATCCCAATCCCCGCTAAAATAGACTAAAATGTTTTGTCAATTCACCTGCCCCAAAATGGGATACCTTTGGTTTTGACAACCACAGCCACATCCCCTCTCTGTGCATCGGGCAACAAACTCCTCCTCTCCTCGCTTGCACCGGTACACCGTGGCGGTGGCTCCCTGGCTGATAAGCAGATCCAAAAGCCGTGCTCCAAAAAAAAAAAAAAAAAAGCCACCTCGCTGGAGCGTTGAAACAAACCAGATGCCTTGGTTTAGGGAATCTGCACTTTTTTGAGAAACACACCAAGGGCGTTCAAACGATTTGGAGCCTGCAGGGTGCCACAGCAGTCTGAGTTCTGACTGCCAATACTTCTATCAAGCTAGAGGACACCGTGCATTCCAGGAAAAGAGCTGTCAAATTGCTCCGGCGCTTGAACTACGTGCTACTGAATCACTCGGCGCCTGTGTCCGTCTCGCGTGTCTCAGGTCTCCTAAGTCTCTCAAGCATCTCAATGTGACGTACATAGGATTCCCCCATCATGTGGCTGGCTTGTGCATTTTCTGTTGGCGGCATTTGGTGGTTCTAAGCTTGGCGCTGCTGTCCAAGGTGGTCCCCCCGAAGAAACGCCCTGGGCCTGGGTGATCCTTTGCCCAAGGGGACAAGTTCGGCAGAGGAAGCCTTACGAACCCCAAACTTTCCAAGGGATCACCCTGCTTTCTGGGAGTGTCTTTTTACAGGAGCCCAACAAAATGGGTTGTGGTCCCTTTAAACCAGCCAAAAAGTGTACCCAGATCCTTCTGGAGTGGGGATTCACATGTGCACCCTGACATGCCAGGTTCTCCCCCCCAACCCCCCCCCCCCCCAAACCCCGGAGAAACCCGAAACCCGCGAGATACGGCGCCTGGCCAAGCTTCTCCTGCATGACGTAGGGCGCAGCCTCCGGGCCGAAGGTCTCTCTGCTCTTGCTCGCCTCGGCTCGGCTCACGCGCCGCGAGAGGCGCTGGAGTTTTTCGCGCTTTTCCTCCAGTGACTCGGAAGAAGAAGAAAAGGAACCAGGTGCCAGGCGTCGGGTGATGAAGCCTTTCCAGCGCCAGGAAGCTCCGAACTTTCGGACAGAGGCAAGGGTTGTGAAGGGGCCTTCTTTTGGTGACATGATGGACAAGTATAGGATGGTGTCCTAACAGCAAGACAATCAGGTGGGACAGTGTGGGGTCCCATACTTACACAAATTACCATGGCAGTTTGACTCATGTTGAAACTCTGGGTGATCTGCATACATCTGGCCATTCTGGCGCATTGCTTTCCCCACAAACTGTCTCTTGTCGTGAGCCCAAGTGGGCATCCATGAACTGCCCTAGTTGCCCTAGTCTTTAAAAGACATGTTCACGGAGTGGTCGTCCAACAGTGTAATGCGCGCAATGCGAAGCCCCGGCCGCGTGTCTCGGGTACAATTGATTATTTTGGGACCGCCGACTTGA